TTCAGTGCATGTGTTTTGTACATTGTGAGTGTTTGGAATGGCTATGTCTATAATGTATGTGATTTTATTGTGTTTGTCAATGAGTGTGATGTCTGGTCTGTTGTGGTAAATTGTTTTATCTGTGATTATGGCTCTGTCGTAGTACATTTTGTGTGTGTTGTTTTCGAATACCGTTTGTGGAATATACTTGTAGTATGGTTCGTGGATGTCTAATAATTTGTGTTTGTTTGCAAGCTCTTGGTGTATTATATTTGCTACTTGATTGTGTCTATGTAAGTAATCTGTGTGTGCCAAGAGCTTGCACCCAGATGTAATGTGTTGTTGTATAATTTCTGGCATGATGTGACATTTTCTGCATGTGTCATTTATGAGTGTTGTATCTTTGAGCACTTCTATAATTTTTTTAAAATATTTCAATTTAATCCAATTTGTTCTATATTCCTCCACATGCCTTGCATAATTTGAAAAAGTCCATTCGAAGACTGAATCTTTGAGAATTAATCATACTTGATTTCTTTTTTGCCTGAAGATGGTGGCTGTAAGTTATCGAAAATACCAGCGAGTATGTCTTAATTATAAATCGTGTTTGTAACGCTGCAACACTGAGATGTCAATTATTTTATTTCATTGTTTGTGTGAAGTGTCTTTTTATGATAATAATGAGGTGCTTTCAGGCAAATGGAAAGAAAGTATCATTTGTTCCATCCACAAAGAAAAGCAAAGAGCTATGCAGTAACTACAGGGGAATATCATTATTGAATACAACATACAAAGGACTGTTGATGCTACTTCTCAGATGGCTAACACCTTATATAAAGAATGTCTTAAGAGACTATCAATGTGAATTTAGACAGAGTCGGTCAACCATTGACCAGATATTTTCCCTGAGACAGTTGCTGGAAAAGAAGTATGAGTACAAACAGGATGTACCAACTCTATGTAGACTTCACTAAAGCATATCACAGTGTGAATTACAAAGAACTGTGACAAATAATAGCGAGGTTGAGGCCGAAGTTTTAAACACAGAAACGTGTACATCGAACGTTCAGCGTCGCTTTCCTGTAAGGCTAGAAGTTTGACAATGGTGTTTGGAACATCGAGCATGATTCCACTGACTATCCAAACACCATTGTCAAACTTCTAGCCTTACAGGAAAGCGGCGCTGAATGTTCGACGTACACGTTTCCGCGTTTAAAACTTTGGCCTCAATCTCGCTAATGGCTGAATTTGTTGGAATACCCGAGAAATTAATAAAAATGACAAGTATATGTATGAGAAAAATCAATCAGCAGAGTCAGGGTTGGAAACAAATTGACAGAATCCTTTGAGATAACTACAGGTCTTAGGCAAGGAGATGTTCTCTCTCCCATATTGTTTAATCTAACACTTGAAAAGTTATTCACAAATTGAAACAGTGGTGAAGGAGAACTTCTAGTCTCTATCAATGGTCTCTATCAAGCATTGACATATGTGGATGACGTTTGCCTGATAAGTGTGACTTGTGAAGACTTAATAGAAAATCAACACTATTACTCTCAGAAGTAGAGAAGGTGGGCCTGAAAGTTAATGAATCAAAAACAAAGTATCTGCTACTATCAAGAGGACATTAGAGTGAGGGTGTTGATAACCTTCTGGTGGAGAAGAACACATTCAAGAGGTTCAGTAATTTCACTTCAGATAGCAGACAATAACAACTCTTTCACAACCATAGTGGACAATAACAAGTCATCACAACAAAACTTCCCTCAAGGCTTCACAAGGCTAATGTGTCATACTGTTGCTTGCAAAAAGTATTACAATCTAAACAAGTTTCCAGAAAGATAAAGTTAAGATTGTATAAAACCGTTCTGACCAGTGCTGCTACATGGCTGTGAAACATGGTCCATACACAGAGTCATTGAACACAAATTGCAAGTGTTTGAAAACAAAGTCCTCAGGAAGATCTTTGGACCTGTGCAGGATAATAGAACTGGTACATGGAGAAAGATGCACAATGAGGAATTACATAGCAAAGTTGATGACTACAATATCATACAAATTATAGCTGAGAGATGCATCAGATGGGCAGGACATGTAGCTTGTACTACTGACATGAATCAACATGTACACAGAGTGCTGACTGGAAAGCTTCAGTGTAAACAGTCTGTTGGACACCTTCCATTGCAATGGAAAGATGGATTGGAGAGGGTCAACAGAGTGGATGTACTGCCTGAATGGGATGCAACAGGCACTAGACAGAAAAGTGGAAGAAGATCATTGTGGCAGTTAATAGCTGAAGATGCTCAAATAACCATTGAATGAATTATTATTATTATATTTATTGAAACTAAGCATTATTATTTACAGTTCTAGTTTTTATTTCTGAAGAAATTATAATATAATAAGAGTATATGTATTCAGATGTTTAATAAACAGTTTATTTTCACAAATTTTATACATCAGAAGAGTTTTTGAACATATTGACAAACTCCTTTAGTATTGAAAATAATGATTTATGAATGATTGCTTACTTACAGTTAAACAAAAGTGTAATAGCACTTATGTAAAATGTTTAAGTAAACTTTACTAAATATGAAGATTAATCTACAAAAACAAAACACTGGGTCTTAAAGGCTAAAATCTGAAAGCAACAATGATGACACCTGGTTGGTAGGAAAGCTAGGACAAGGAAGAAAAAAACTATACTATCAGTTTTTATTAAAGTAAACCTGAGGAAAGGCACAAAATAAATTGAAAATTTTAATATTCTAAAATCGATGGGCAAGTTTTAGATAACACACATTCTTGCTTGAATAAAAAAAATTGAATAATGGAGTTTACACTTAAAAATTGTGAAATTTTTTACAGAGGATATCCCAAACCATGTTAGAGTGAAACTGGAAGCTATGTTGTATGGAGATATCCCCAATCTTTTAAACTGTGTTGTACAAAGGATATTTGTAGATGGTTTTAGTGTGGATGTAAAGGCAGCAGAAAACAGTTTTGTATGTAAGTTGTTTAACTGTGATAAAAATTAAAACTTATGAGACTAGATTACAAAACTGAAACCACAGTGGAGGGGTGATGCCAAACACATTTTCTGTAAATTATAAGTGGTTGCATAAGTGTTTAAACAATCGTCTGGGACTACTTGGAATGGAGCACAAATTTACATGGAATTTCATTTTATCTAATGTTTGCTGATATATGACTATCCCTGTGTAAAACAAGGCTGTACTGTATTATTTATCATTTGCTGTTAAAAAAATTTTCAATAATTTGTTGTATTATGTCCAATTAATAAATGAATATGAAGTCATTAAATAACTTAATAGTCAATTAGCATGGTTATCATAATTTTACATATCATTAAATATGTATTGTAATTATTGAATTTAGCCTTTATCTTTTTAGTCTTTCACAAATTTTGAATTGCCTCTTGATTTAATATATATTTTAAATGGTTTATTGTAAAGTTTAAAATTATTAATTAACCATTTATCTGCAGTCAGAAAAAGTATGATAATTTTTTTTATCTAGAAATATGATATATATCTGTTGTCCATATAATTCTGAATATATTTTTAATTATTTGATAGATTCATATTAAAGCTGAAATTTTGCAATGCTCTCTGGCTAATGCAACATGGCACTCTATGGGATGTGGATCATAGTATGGAAACTACTGATTTAGTTTTCTAGTTTGAGATGCAGATTAGTATTTATGAATGTTTAATATTATCAACATGCTCCTTCTTTGTATTTTAAAGCAACAATTTGAAAATGGAAAAGAAGACAAAAAATGTAAGTTTAATGGATTAAATGGGATGAATTTATTAAATTTTTTTAAAGTATTGTTTGTTTTCTATAATGTATATATGATTCTAAAATTAATTTTATGGAATGTCACATAGTAAAAATAACTCGTCCTATAGAGAAAATAGTGTTAGTCACTTAACATTTAAAATTTGTTCAGTTTTTCGAAACATTGTTTCTTCAAGCTTTTTCTCAGTACTATGCATATGTAGCTAGAACTATTTCTAAGATTATCAGCACAAAACCTTTCTCACTAATTTCTAGCCTTATTAACAGGAGCACAAACATTTTCGGCCTTCTTAATAGGCCTTCCTCGGGTACACTGTGGAGCGTCGGTTAGAAGAAGTTTAAATGCTGCCAATGTTTACCCAGGTATCGTCTTACCAGTGACGTCATCGTCGATGATAGGTGTACAATACCACGGGCGAAAAATACATACTTTTGGTAAAGAAGGGAGGTGTGCAGATGGGATACTTGCTAAAGTTGGGGAAAAGGTTTTAGAGTAAGCGCGCTACGTACAGGAGATGCACAATCACAACCCCACTAACCCCCTGTTGTGATTGTGCATCTCCTTTACGTAGCGCGCTTACTCTAAAACCTTTTCCCCAACTTTAGCAAGTATCCCATCTGCACACNAACTTTCGCCCTCGGTATCGTATACCTATCATCGACGATGACGTCACTGGTAAGACGATACCTGGGTAAACATTGGCAGCATTTAAACTTCTTCTAACCGACGCTCCACAGTGTACCCGAGGAAGGCCTATTAAGAAGGCCGAAAACGTTTGTGCTCCTGTTAATAAGGCTAGAAATTAGTGAGAAAGGTTTTGTGCTGATATTCTTCTCAGTATTAACATTGATGAATCAAAATTTAAAATATGGAAGTAATATCATTGAAATAACAAAAACAAAAAAACTAATATAAAATAATTTATAAACATCTCAATCATGAGAGATTAAAAAATCTAACAATCATCAGTATTGTTATACCGATAATGTTAGTTGTTAGGTTTACAAAAACCTTTGTTTTAAATTAATATATCTTTATTTTCACAAAACACACTAAAATACAGACTAGTTGATTGATGTAAATATTTAGTTCTGTTTGTGTTTTTATTAAGTTCATAATAAAAGTTTCTTTTAAAAACTAATAATTGTATTAAAAAAATTTGTATTAGATATTCAAACTTTTAGGATTTTACAGTTCAAAATAAACTAAGATCTGTATAACAAACACAAATAAACCAAAATCCAGTTCAATATGTGAAAAAATATAAAAAATGAACAAACATTTTGAATAGCTTTTAGTTATCATCATCAGGTTAAGAAAAAACAATGTTAGAAAATTGAACAAAACATTGAGTGTCAATTTTAAATAACGATAAGGTACCATTTGATTGGATGGTGAATAAACATTATTCATAAAATATTTGAGTATTTTTTTTTTGGCATGGAACGCATTATCATATTTTACATTAATTTATATAGGAAAAATTGTTTTGCTTTATGAGTAACATTCTGGAACAAATTATGCTCGTTAAATGAGGTTCCACTATATGACCAAGATTGTATAAATCCCTGGTAGTAGGTGTTTGTACTGGTGCTTAAAGTTCCTTGGAAACAGATATACTGTGGATTACATTTAAAAGCTACAGATATGTTGTTGGCTCTTGCTATTTCCATGTATCGGTACATTCATTTCAAATGTTGATTATCTTACTGTGTTGGTTGTATAGTTTTTTCTTGTTGCTATGGCTAGAAGCATGCAAGGAATAGAAACTGATGAGGCACTTGATTATCTTGTGATTAGGGATTGCAATTGCTGGATCCAGCACATTTTTCGGCCTGTTGGATCCAGCACTACGGATCCACAAATACTCAATTAACTTTCTAAATAATGATGCAAAAGTCTACATTGTCAGCCTTGCCGCTTTGCTACTCCCGCCGCCAAGCGATAGTGACATTGCCGTTCGGTGCGGCACGTGCTACACCACCTCTCTACACCGCACCATCTGCCCTTTTACCTCTGCTAATCTAATTGCCATTTGACTTTCCGCTCTCACTAAATAAAGTGTCTTTGCACGCTAAATAAAATAAGTAACTCCTATCCTAGTCCTGGTGCATAATTCTAATTTATGGTCGGTTGTGACGTCAATGAATCACGTGACGGAACGATTGCAGTTTAAACTGGCTGTAGAAGCTCTCTGCAGAGGAATTGAGTTTGATAACTGCTGACAGAACCCTGAAATTTATCTTAGACAAACTAAAAAGCCAGGACACAATCTTGAGTGCCAACCTTTCCAAGGCATTCCACAAAAGAATCAGAGAACGGCGTCTTATCGAGGTCACAGGGATGCTGATTTACATACAGAACCCGAAGAAGTATGACCGAAAAGTTAGAAAGCTTTATCTTTCACATGCAGAAAAAAATGTAAAATGTCAGGAGATGAAAAATATGCTGAATCCTGTAAATACATATGTAGTGGAACCAGCAGCAATGGCAGAGGATATTACAGAGGTGGAAAATGATGATCCAGATAACCTGGATTCCTTGAATTTCACATTGGAACAAGAATTAGAGATCCAACTAAAGTGTGAGAAAGAAAACTTCATGAAATGGAAAGAAACTAGTACTGAGAAGGATTATAAGTTACTAAAAAAGGAAATGGCTGTTTATGAAAGTGAGGGAGTCAGAGGTGAAAACTTATCTTTGATTTATCATTATTTGATGACAACGAAACCATAGAGGCAGAAAAGGCCTTCTCCGCAGCGTGATATATATGCAGTTCATTAAGAAGTAGGTTGGGAGACAATACCATCAATACCATTTGTTTCTTGAGATCCTACTTTTAGAAAAGTAAAAAAAAATAACAGAAGTGATTGATTTAATTTTATTTAATCCTTTAAAATACTTTGTTCAAGGCAAGACTAATATTTTATAACTTCTACTCTAATTTTATTAAGTAAGAGTTTTTAACTTTTATTCTATAACTGTTTAGTGGGCTAGGCTAGATAATTTAATTGTTAAAATTAGTGAGAAACAGACTACCTAGTTAGTTAAATAGTTAAGCCACTTAGCCACTGATTATCTGTCCTTACATTATTATAATATAATATATTAATATAAATTAATTAGTAGAATTACCTCTGCTATTATTTAACTTAAAGATTACATTATAATTATAATCTAACTAAACATTTAAAGTTAATTATCTCTATCTCAAGTGTTAAACCAAACCAAAGTTAAGTTTACTACCTAAATGTGTAAGAAGTTTTACTGATTTATAGTGACCAGTCTAAATAATAAAAGTTTCTTAAGTATTTAAAAAAATGTTTTATTTCTTTAAAAAACCCATAAATTTTGGATAGATAGATAGATAACTTTATTGCACCAAAAAAACATCCATGCATCCATGCATGGATTTTTGCTGGACCAACATCATTCCAGCTGAATCCAGCTGGAATGATGTTGGTCCAGCAAAAATCCAGCTGGATTAAAAACACTGCTGGATTGCAGTCCCTCCTTGTGATGGTAACCATGTTGATTAGTGATATTGTAGATATGTTTGAGCTCCCGAGCCCTGTCTTCATGTGAGATGTGGGATAAAGGCTCATCTAAACAGGCTCTAAAAACCACTATTTTAAATGTGAAAGAATCATGGGAAGCTGCTAGAATGTAAATGGGATGGTGTAAAGGTTTTCTGTAGACAGAGGTAGAAATATTACTTTCCAGAATGGAGATGTTGAGGTCCAGGAAGTGTACTGAAGTGTGTGCAAACTTTTGATGTATGCTGTTTAGTTATGTTGATATAAGTAATCAGTCTGTGCTAAAAGCTTACAACTCAATGTGATGTATTGTATAATTTCATGCATGATATGGCATATTATACAAATGTTGTAATCTGTACATGATGTAAATTGCACATTAAATATAATGTTTTATAATATTTATTTTAATTAATAATTTTCTATTTAATTTTTTGTGACCTAAATTATTTAGAATTATTTATGCCTGTATTACTTTAACAAGTTTATACTTTAGATTTGAAATTTTGAATATTCCAATGACAATGTTTTGATGACTTTTGTTTTGATTTTTCTAAATCTGAAAAAGTTTGAATTGTTTCATATATATATACAACTTTTTATTATATAATATTTTAAGTTATTTAATTTAATATATTAAATTTGAATGTTGATAAATTTTAAGTGAGTTTTTCCATAATATTTATAATGTTTACATAAAACATTTTAAGGTAAATTTAAGGGGAAAATAATTACTTCTTATTCTTTTCAGGATATATAGTCACATTTTGAAAAATATAATATACATTTCTTTTAATTGGCTGTATGTGCAATATGCTTTATGGATGAATGTTTTAAAACAAAATGAAAAATATAAAATAGGTAAGATTAACTGACTTTTTATAAGTTGTTTTAGTGTTTTTAATATAAAGTTTTAGAACTAAATAGTTTAGTTTATAATATATCAAGTACTTACATATTAAAATATAATAAATTAACTGAACAATGAGCAAATAAAAGGCAGAGTATAAATTGATTTGTAATGTATTTTGTTTTAGTGATGTATTTTATTTACATTTTAAATATTTGTTGTAGATTTTGGTTACAAAAATTTACAGTATAATAGTCATTTTGATTCTTTCCATATTGATAGCAGGAGACAAGATAGATAGAAACTAGATGGAAACTGAAGTGCTTAGGATCATTTTTATCATTTAGTATTATGTAGAAAATTTCAATAATTAGATTATTTGAAAGACCATTGATTAATTAGTAAATGGTTACAGTTTTTGTTGTTAATCATTAGCTAATTGTTTGGTCTTAACTGTTAAAAAGTCATAGAAAAATATTTGAATTTCTCTCTGTTTGAAGCTTACAACATCACAACATCTATGAAATGCATTGTTTTCAGAATAGTTGCAACTGGATGGTGTTATTTAACATTACTTAATGAATATTTCACTTTCAAAATATCATTCCATCACTTATGCCCTACACATTCTCACTCCATCATCCGTGAAAATAAAATTTAGACTGTCTATTCTTTTGAAAATATCTGCTATCCCATGCAAAGACTAATTATCAATTATAAGATTCAATTTTGAACATGTGCAAATCAGTATAGAAAATCCTTTATATTCTGAACTCTGTAATGTGAATCTCATTAATACCTCCAGTAGAAAAAGCCTGCTTGTTGGATTTGTTAGCATCATAACTGGATTTAAGTTGAGTAGACAAGAGTTTCTTTTCTGATGAATTCAGATTTGGCTTTTGAGTGATTGTTGATATTTTTTTAATTGGAGAGAATTGTGAGTACATTATTTTTCCTCTTGTAAGGAAATGAAATCATTATGGAAATAATAATTTAATACTTTGAATTATATTCAATGGATGTACTGATTTGCACATATTCAAAATTGAATCTTATAATTGATAATTAGTGTTTGTATGGGATAGCAGATATTTATTTTCATAAGATTAAACAGTCTAAATTTTATTTTCATGGATGATGGTGTGAGAATGTGTAGGGCATAAGTGATGGAATAATATTTTGAAAGTGAATTGTTAAATGACACCATCAACTGGATAAAATTACAGAAATACACAATGAAAACCAAAACTCCAGTTTAAAAACATAAATTTAATGAAAGATAATGTAACCTGAAGATGGTCGCTTAAAACAATTGAAAATGTTTATTTTTCATTAAATTTATGTTTTTTAACTGGAGTTTTTGTTTTCATTGTGTATTTCTTCAATAAATAGTATTTGGTTTACTCTCTTATTTCTAAGATTTTCTTGGAAGAATTATAATAATCTGTATGACTTTGCTGTAATTAGCTAATTATTGTACCTTTAACAATTGGTGAAGTTTAACTAATGCTAACATCTTTGACTAGGGTTAATGGATTATGCTCATGAGTTAATATTAACTCAAGCTGAAGATGTTAGTGTTATTTAAACTTCACCCACTGTTAAATGTGCATTGATTAACTTATCTGGGTAACCATAGTGACTAGTTCATCTTTATTTGTTATAATCTTCCTGTAGCTAAAGCCCAGTTGTTTTGATAAATGAGTTCTGTGACTAATTGCATTAAGTTTTCTTATTCAAAGAACTAATCAGTTTTGTATAATCTTTATATGTGAAAAGAATAATGACATACCATACTATTTTTTTAATTGTTAAATATAAAGAATATTTTTCTAATTTTTTCAATAACTATTGGCATAGTTTCAAATTTTATGAAACTTCATACATTCTAATTAGACAAAGACATTGATATGTTGAGGGAACTGAAGAAATTTTTTTTATAGATACATTTGTAAAAATTTTTAAAATATTGTGTTGTAAAAATAAATTATTTTATATTTGAATGTGGGGGGCGCTTCCGACGTTCGTCAGTGTTGGTGAGTTTTTTGAGAGAGCTGTTTTTGTTGAATTATAGTGCTTTGGATATGTTTGCTTTTACAAAGTGTTTGATTCTTTATCTTGGTTTCATCAAAGAATTTGATATATATTTATTATTACGTGCTTTATTGGTAATTGGAGGTATTGAATCTAATCCTGGACCGATGTCTCGTACTCCACCTTCCTCCCCTATTTCAAAGTCGTCCATATCAGTTGTTGGAAAACGTCAAAGATCTCCTAGTGAACCGACTTTGAAATCTCAGCGATTGGAAAAGTTTTTTNAGGCTGTTCAGATATATCAAGTAATTTAGTTTGATTGGTTAGTAGCCGCTTACTATTAAACAGTTTAGCCGATAAAAAGTATCTGGATTAGTACAGTTAAACATGCAGCAAAAGCTTCAAGATGGACAGATGTTGATGTATTTGTGCAGCACTGAATACAATGATGCACACAAGGAAGAAGTATATATTTCATTTGATTGCTTTTTATAAGTTATATAAACATTATGTTTGTTCTAAAGGCTGTTCAGATATATCAAGTAATTTAGTTTGAATGGTTAGTAGCCGCTTACTATTAAACAGTTTAGCCAATAAAAAGTATCTGGATTAGTACAGTTAAACATGCAGCAAAAGCTTCAAGATGGACAGATGTTGATGTATTTGTGCAGCACTGAATACAATGATGCACACAAGGGGAGAGTATTATAAGGGCTTAAGCTTTCCCCATTAACACAAAAAAGTTTTTAAATTTATTTATTTGAACTTTAACATTTCAACATGTTTTTAAAAACATTTGCATTGGCAAATGTGATTTATTGGACTGTCTTCAATGCGATTGTTGTGCACTTGTTAATAAAAATATACTAAGCATTCATGTATATTTAATTTTTGAGTTAGTCATCTTATGTGTACTTTTTGATCTGCTGCTGACTTACTAATGCTATAGGAAATATTGAACTAATAAACTTAACTAAAAGCAATCCTGTCTGGACATGTTTGGTTGGTTAAAGACAGTGGGAGCACTTTTTACTTGACCAAGAAAAATAGAATTGAATGGATTTACTAAATTAAATGATTTCACTAAACTGTTTGATAAATTTCACTTTCCACACATGGTAAGTTACTAAATTCAACTATTTGACTGAATTACTGAATATGTCTGAACAGGCCTTAATAGAGTGTAAAAAATCAATAAAGAATTAAGTTCAGGGGCTTTTGCATTTTCATTTGTTTTTAGGGATGTTTAGAAGAATATAGAATGCCATTATCATGACTTGAGTTATGAATGACTATGTTCTCATGGAAAGAAATGATAGATAAAGTTCTTTATTAAGGATTTCTATATACAAATGTTTAAAAGTTTACATAAGAAATAAAACTCTTTACAAGCTCATTCATATGTTTATCATTAGGGTGCAGTTGTCAAAGATTTTGTATTATTCAAATTGTTATTATTGTTAGTAATGATGAAACAAATGGTGACAATAAGTCATTTATTATTTAGTTGAAGCTGGATTAAAGTATGGGTAAAACCTATACATGAGTACTATTTTGAATTAATTGGTTAAAACTATATTATTGGTTAATACTATATTATTTATGTATTTGATGTATTACATTTACTATTCAAAGTATTAATATATACACAATTCACACACATAAACAGGAGCATTCTTTATGCACAAACAAGCAAACATAAACATTTATTTATATTTTTTATATATAATGTTTTTTTTTCCTATTTGTTATGGTTTTATTTCTATTTGCTGATGGTTAATCAAGATTTCATTACAATGTATAAAAATATCTTTCTCATGGGGTTTTTTCCAACAGATCGGTTGAACTTAGTGAGGGAGTTCAATTGTAACAGTTCTTAAATGAATATTGAACTTTTGATTTTGTAACTTTTTCAATATGATTTTTGTGTTAATTGCTAAATTTTGGAATATTTTTATTGAGATAAATTAATTTCAAAAAACTGTTGTAACAATTATTATAATTATGATTGCATTTTTCTGGAAACTGCACTTGAAATAAACCACAGTACTACTGCAAAGACCTTTAACATGTAGTAAATTTTAATTTCTCAAACATTTTCAATCATATTAAATAACCTTCTTTCAGGAAAGAAAGAAATCAATTTGAATTTAAAAAGAAGAACAATAGCTGGAATGTCTTCTGGAACAGGGTGATTTTGAATATTAAATGTTTAAATTGAAATTGGTTTCTTTCTGTCTGAAGAAGGTTGTTTAAAATGATTGAAAATGTTTGAGAATTAAATTTGAATTGCATGTAGTACTGTGTAGTAGTAGTAGTAGTAGTAGTAGTAGTAGTAGTAGTACTGGTACTGTAGTACAGTCTGTGAAATAGTACTATAGTTCTGATTATTATGCAAATTTATTGCATTGATGCTACAGACTATAAGCAACCATTTATTAGTGACTACAAAAAATTTAAATATTGTTCGTAGATTATTAGGAAATACTTAAATAAATAGTTTGTTTGGTAGCATTAAAGTATCAAAATCTTATTAAATACAACTACTGTCTTGTTAGTAAGTTTAAGTTTGTTAACATATCATCATTTTTCTGGTCAGCAAAAGTGATGAACACCATGATAAATAAAATGTGATTTTTAATTATCTTTATATGTTAAAACTAAAAATGTAGTACATATAATTAAACTGAACAAAATTTATTAATAGTTTGGAAGTGTTGTTGTATTACATGCATCCAGTTCAGGGTAGGATTTCTTTATTAATAGTTATTTAGAAATTATAGGTTAATGTTATTAATAGTGCTCATTAATGAATTTTCTTCAGTTTAATTATCTATCTTAGATCTTTAGTTTGTAACAATTCCAAGAAAATTAAAAATGATTTATTTTATTACCAGAAAAATATTTTTGAAACTGAGCTTATTCACAATTACTGAAGATTACCTTCCTTTCCATTGTTTTATATGCATAATAATGAATGGTAGCTTAATGTCTAAATATAATTAATTTTTTTACTGTGCAGCTCGTGTTTTGAAGTTGCAACCCGAATGTGGCCCACCCGTGCCAAAAGGTTGCCGATCCCTGATCAAATTAAACGAGTTGGAGAAAGCTTTGGTAAAGTAGCTACATTAAATTCTTTTAAATTTATTAAGAAATTAATATTATTATAATAACATCTTAACAAGAATATTTTTCTGTTGAATTAATTATTCTAATAAAGCAAAGTTATAAACTAACATCAATACACATCTATTAAATCAATGTTTTTCCTTTTAATTTTACTATTTGCTGATTGAATTGTTGAGCAAATTAATCTGTTTGATTACTATTGATTTTTTATACATTTTGTTACTATAGCTACTTTTTCTTTACATTTAAAAATTTTTTTAATAAAAACATATTAAAATTTTATGTTTTGATTAGTATAGTTTCATATGGATAATCTACAGGTTATTTGAATTTAAAAGTTAGTTTGAAAAAAGATGCTGGTTATGAATCTCATTCATTATGATTTATGTTATTTTTTTCTTTAACAAAAAAAATATTATTTTGCCAGTTTATTTCAAATTACTTTGATATTTCTATTGGTATAACTAATAGTATTGATTTTCTGAAAATTTCATTCCATGCCTTGGTTAGTTAGTTATTGATAGAAGTGTTTTAGATATTATTTATTATATGTATAAATAATTTACCTAAAAGTAATGCATACCCATTTTAATTCTAATTAAATAAAATGTTAATTTTCCTTGAACATCGCAAATATATGACATGAGAAAATTGAAAATATGTCACAATGCCTTCCTATTAGCTGAATTAAAATGGAAGTGGTCACTAGTGATGTTGTAAGACCTTGTCTCATTACTGATCTTCTATTTTGTTGTAAGTGTAAAAACATGTTTTGTGAATACCAAATGTAAAATATCATTAGTGTTTGGTAACTTTATGATATTATAGATCATAAGATACTATGTTGTATCTTATGATATGTTCATGATCTTAACCAAAATTTTTATCCATCTGTATTTGAAAATTCTAGTTTAGTTTTTTACTCATTTTTAACATTTTTAATTTTGTGATTGTACTGTCTTATTGTTTCATTGGAAGCCATACTTTTTGCAAGGATTCCAACAAAGGATTCCATGAAGCTACTCAGTGATCTCTTTGTTCTCTTTTTAGAGTATGAACTTAGGATTATTATAAGATTTTTTAATTCATGTTTTAATTGCATTAATTTCTAGTACTTGTTAAAAAATACAGAATAACCAAACATCCAGCAAAACAAAAAATTTTTAATCAGAAACAAGCATTTTCAATCACTTTTAGTGACCATCTTTAGTTTTACATCTAGGAACAACTTATAACAAAATTTACGAATTTGAACTAGATGGAACATTTATTTGATTGGTTATTGCCATGCTCACAGTATTAGTCATTCATATATCAATAAAAAATTTTATGTTATTTCAAATAAAGATTTCCATTGGTGATATTGTGTCAGCTTTAAAATTTATAGCCCCTGCATTTTTACTGGTTTTATATATTTTCATCTTTCCAGGTGCTGTAGGTAGGCTTTTTCTTGTATTAGTTGCACTATCTACATGGACCTAAATCTGATTGTCAGTTGCAAATACTGTCAATATCATTGTTGAAAGATCCTTCCTTACTGACTCGTCATATTCCTTTAATTGTATGTTTAAAGAATGTACCATGGCTCCAATATATTGTAACTTTTTCTCCTACTCTATTATCTGTTAATAAGATGGAATAGACTCCCAGTAGATTGTTTTACTTTTCTGAGTCTTTAGTATTTCTGAATAAAGAGTAGATGGAAGGATTTCTCCTGTACTCTATCCTGCATTTATTAGCCTCAGCTGTTTTGTTGTGGATGGTTGTCAGTTGTTTGATATTAATATATTTAACCATCTTAAAAGATTCCTTCTGGTTTTCTTCTTTAGTTGGCAATTGATGGCAATTCATGTCAATGGATTAATCCTCCAGTGGTTTTTGTAGAGTATGTGTTGTGCCCCAATTCATCTTATATAATTTAGTTCCTTTCACCTGTCCGCCATAATGGAAGAATGTATAAAGACCACTTTTGACTAGTGCTCAGAATATTACTGTTTTTAAGGAAATGGGTTATTTGATTCCACTGGTATGAATAGGGACCCGTATGTAGGTTTATGGAATACCTTGGTGTAGATATGGCCATCCCACCAGGTCAGGAGTATGTTGAGGAAGTGGATATTCAAAATAATCAACACCTAATTCGTTGCCAAGGGAGTTTATTTAAAAAACGAACGTTTTCGATCTACTTCATAGATCATCTTCAAGTTGAAAAAAACAAATATGGAATAACCACAAAGAATAGAACATTAAATTTAAAATTCAAAAATATCGACAACTGAGTAATTAAGTAAAATAATTAAAGTGTAAAAATACCAATTGTAAAAATAAATAACATACAACAATAAATAAGTAATAGTACAAGTTGTTAACAGTTAACAAAAATTATAAGTGCTCTCATAACGTGAATTGCGAATCAAGTCGTCATTCATAAGCCATTTGTAAGTCTTTTAATAGCAAACTTCCGTGCTGAGGGTAGGCCCTCTGCATCTCTGGCGTTTATACATCTATCATCAAGTTTCTTCTGTATATTTCCATTTTTTTGGCTGTCTTCGCTAAAGTTGGAGAGTGTATTTGCCTAATGATTTCAGCTTCTTCCCATCCAACTACGGAACCTTGGGCCTTGAGCCAGCTGGGCCAGCACAGTTGCGTTTGATTGTTTCCTACATCATATTTATGCTCTCTGACCCTTACCCCCAATTTCCTCGTTGTAACTCCTATGTACTCCTTTATTAATCCTAAGTGTTGGTTCTCGTACGGGATCTTATAAACTCCTGCTTTATCTTCTTTTTTAATATCCCTTTTATCGTTTCTTAGAATTTTAAATAAATTGGATGGGAAGAAGCTGAAATCATTAGGCAAATACACTCTCCAACTTTAGCGAAGACAGCCGAAAAAATGGAAATATACAGAAGCAAACTTGATGATAGATGTATAAACGCCAGAGATGCAGAGGGCCTACCCTCAGCACGGAACTTTGCTATTAAAAGACTTACAAATGGCTTATGAATGACGACTTGATTCGCAATTCACGTTATGAGAGCACTTATAATTTTTGTTAACTGTTAATGACTTGTACTATTACTTATTTATTGTTGTATGTTATTTATTTTTACAATTGGTATTTTTACACTTTAATTATTTTACTTAATTACTCAGTTGTCGATATTTTTGAATTTTAAATTTAATGTTCTATTCCATATTTGTTTTTTTCAACTTGAAGATGATCTATGAAGTAGATCGAAAACGTTTGTTTTTTAAATAAACTCCCTCGGCAACGGATTAGGTGTTGATTATTTTGATTATTAATTTGCCGAGTACGTTTTCTGTTTGAAGTGGATATTGTTATAGCTTTCTTGTTCTACCCACAGAGTCCAAAAGAGTTTTAATTAAGTTGTGTTAAGAATTCCTGTATGCTTGATTTGTATCCCCAAATGTTAGGAAGGAACATTGTGTACATATTGAAGGTATGACACAATGTGTTATTTGAATGGCAATAAAGGTTATTTTTCCAGTTAACGAACCAAAAGCTCATATAAGGAAACACAAACAAATTCACATCGTAAATTGGTTCAGTGTTTGTGTTTGATATATAGGTGTGGTGAGTAGTGAATTTTTTGCTCATATAAGGTGCCCAAAATTGGATTACCCATGGGGACATCAGTTTCTTGTAGATATTTTATGTTACATTTTCAGATTTAAAGAAAGAAGAATGGCATATAATTCTAACCAAACAAAAATGCTTTAGTGGTGTTTGCTAAAGTCCTGAATATTATTAAATAGGAAGTTGCATAGCTCACAAAAGTGTTGTTAAAGTCATACTTGCCAGAAAGGGCTTTATTTTTTCAATGTTTCCTTGATGTTGTCAACTGTACTTTTCAGTATACTTCCTTTGTTCCTTTGGTAGTTAGTAATTCTAAATTTTCTCTTTGTTTTCTTTTATGTATTTTTAATAGGCCTCTATTTTCCTGCTTTAACTGTTTGTTTAAGCTGTAATAATCCTTGTCTTCCTTTATAGTGAAAAAATAAGTTGGTGTCACTTTTTGAATGTAGGAAATGATTATTATTTTTACATTATTCAGTCTAAAGTATCCAGTTTAATCTAGATCCAGTGAGTTATGCCAACAGTGTAAAGTACAAGTACTGTCTTGGTAACATTGCTTTGATTGTATTTCTATAATGTGGCTTTGATTTTAAAACTTTTCTTTATTTGCCTAATTTATTCTTTGCTTATGTTGCTTGATTTCATTATGTTTTGATGCATTTTGGTTGTAAGATATCTTAAGTATTTGTAGCTATCTATAGGTGGTGAGCCCTTAATTTCACTATCATTGAGCATTTTTGTTCTTTCATTAGTTGCTAGCTGTCCTCTGTCACCAAATTTGCTTATTTAGTCCAAAGTTCATTGCACTATCATTACTAAAGACCCACAGTGTTCAGCCTAGACTTGATTTCAGCTGATGATTTTCCAGAGTTTCAAATTGTCTATTTACAAAAGATAGAACAGTTTTATTGATGTTCATGAAGTCTGGTAGCCTTGCCTAGTTTTTTCAGTCATTGGTAGTGGAATCATTGCTGTGGAATAATTATTCTGCTATCAATAATTATTAAATAAGTGTTATTCTCATTTCATATCTCATCTTGATAGTTATCACTGCTGTAGCACTGTACATGAGCTGATTCACACAATAATAACATCTCAATTTTTGCAGAAGACTTGATCAAATCATTAAGGCCTATGTCAGATCCTTCATGACAAGTTTCAATTGGGTAATCTTTTTCAATTTTATTATTTATTCATGTGTTTAATGATTTTCTACTTTAGCTCTTTATATGTTTGAATCAGTCAGTCTGTATTTTTTTAGTATAGATATGGTAGACTGATGCAAAATGCCTTATTTTTGAACAGTAGAGATATACAGTATTTTCTTACAAGCAAGACATTTGAAATAAGGTGTTTCAAATGTTGAAACACATAATTTACACATTGATGTGGTGTTTGAAAATAAAAATTTTGTTTTTTTCTTGGGGTCCATTTGGTAAACCTTAATGAATCTAAACTCATTTTTTAACTGTTAACATAAGTCTCCATAATTGTCTTGTGATATAGCATTTGCTTGCTGTTGTGACTGTTCATTGGCATGACACACAAATAGTTGCCGCTAGTGTCATCCTTAGATCTGGAAGCAAATATTTTGAAAAGGCTTAGCATGTATTTCTACAACTGATTTATCTCTGTCTAGATGATCAGAATAGATACTGTAACCACAATCCTTAACTTTATGTTTCAGTTCTGCCAAATATTTGTCAATCATTTGATCTATTCATTGTACATACGAATACGATTGAAATAAACAGTAAATTTCATTTTTGTAAGGTTGAAAGTGACCATCAAATTTATCTAAAATGACATCTATGGTATTATTTAAATATTACATTAATTTTTTTCAGGTTTGTTTTAGTATTTATTATTATTGTTATAAATTAGTTTTGAATCAGTCCAGTGAAAGACAGAAAGATTTATTCCATGCTATTAAGGAATTTTTGTACTAAATGACAAGTTCAGGGAATTATAGATTTATGCCTGTGGTGGATTGTATATTTTTAATACTTAAATATTGGAGATTCCTTGCCAGTGATTCTTGTATGATTTCCTGTAGCATAATGGAGATTAGTATGACAAAAACTGTTTTGCTGTCAGTTTTGCTGAATTTTTGATACTTAGACATTTTTTCCAATTTTGTTTTTTCAGAATTCTTAGATAATAGAATTGCAATATCAATGACAGATGTAGTTTTAGAAGTTTTTTAACATAATTTGAGGTGTAATTTTTACAGTTCTATCAGTTAGAACAAGTATATCCCAATAAAGTATAAATCAATAATTGTTTTAATACTGGTGGAGGATGGAATTTATAATAAAGAGCTAATGAGAAAGGAAAATTTAAGTTTTAGTAACTTGATCCTGAATACTAATCATGACGTTTTTGTCTCAGGAAATATATTTTCAGATTTTAGCCAGATGAAATATAATTTTTCATTGACTTTGTCACCTGTTAAAATAGTAGGTATTTTCCATGGATTGGTTTCTCCCAACAAAAAGCATTTACTTTTCTGACTGTTATAGAATATAACATACAGAAACTATGGTGATTGACCTTCTCAGTTGTTTTGCATTTCTTGATGATGTGTCAACACTTCAGGAGCTAGTTTTCTGGCTCCTGGAGTGTTGACATAATTTTAAAATGATTTTTTTTTATGTTTTTATTAAAAAAAAATTTCTTATAAAATTGTGTGTTTGTATGTTGGCATCTATTTTGAATTATATCTCTGGACTAGATGAACCTAAAATTTTGAAAACTTTGCAACTTGACAGGATTATTTCTATAGTATGGTCTGTTGATGCTATTAAAGTGTTTTTGTTGACTAAACATCAAAGGAATTGGAGATAGGAGGTAGTCATGTGTCATATCTTGAGTGGAGTCAGATTTAATGAAAATTTTACTCATTATTGGCATTCACATTTTTTAAGAACTCATCTCTAATCTTAAAATATAGACTTTTGTCTTTTTATAATAATTAATAATATAAAAATTATTTTTTAATAAAATCCACAACAGATAGCACTATACATAATTTTAACTTTGAGTCCTCTCTTGCTGTTTTCTAAATTTAAATTTCTTTATTTAATCCTTTATTATTAATTAAATTATATAACTAAATTTAATATAACTAAAAATTATTAGATTTTCTTCTTGATTCCTTAACACATTAAGAGCACCTTTTAATGTATAGCATGTGCTGCTGCAACACATGCTATACATTAAAATCTGTGCTCTGTTATTTCAGAGCAATAGGCTAGCTATAAACATATATATACATAATGGAAATAGTTAGAGCATGGCCTGTGGGAATGGAAATTGCATTGGTCCAGTAAAATTTTTTTTATGATAGAATGCGAATAGAAATTTCATTTTTTTAGTTATAAAGTATTCAAAATGTGCCTTTTCTAATGTTTTACTTGCACAATGAACATGAATAAGTACAATATTGTGAAAATATAAAGCACAAAAACAAATGTTTGAGAAACAATTTTTATTTTCTTTTAGTGAACAATGTATAATGTTAAAAATGAAATTATTAATAAAATTAAATTTTATGGGAGTCCTAATATAATAATAATTAACAATCCAATAATTTACGAATAATAATAATCATTATTATTATTAATATTATTGTGTTTGTAAATTATTGGATTGTTCAGAAAGTTCATAGTGAAATTTGACAAAATTCAAAGCAGTACGTTGTACTGAATTAGTATTTTATTAAATAATGTGTACACCATTTGTTTCAATGACTTTTCACTATCTATTAGGTAGCTTCATTGATCCCTTTTTGAAAAATTTTATATTATTTTTTAGCAACAAATTCTTTGGAGTGGTTTTTACTGCCTGTAATGTACTTAATTATTTTCAAGAAGTTTGTAAAGACTGAAACAAATTATAGTCAGATGATTCTATGTCCAGTGAATAGAATGGATGGAGTAAAACCTTCCAACCAAAGTCAAGTAGCTTTTGCCCACTCTTTGTTGGCATGTGCAATCTAGCATTGTCCTGTTGCTGTTGATAAAGACATATTTCCTGTTGATCAATTCCAGCCATTTTTGTTTAATTACATCATTTAATTGATGTAACTGGGAGCAACATTTATCTGAATTAAATGTTTCATTGTTTTTCAGAAGTTCTTAATTAAATTAATAAATCTTTTGCAATCCCACAAAATATACTGCATAACTTCCTTTGGATGTAATCTGACTTTTGGAGTGGAGTAGTAGCTTCTCTCACTCTCCTGAAGATCTTTTTTTCACTTGACATTTTTGTCTCTTACAAGCGACACTTTAAAAATGGCTCATTTTTGTTATGTTTTAAGAGCAAATTCCTTACTGAGACATAGTCCATCAAATGTTTTTCTGTTAAGTCATTCAGCACCCATACATCATAGCAACTAATGTAACCAAGATATATCCAAAGATATTACCAAAATGTTCACATATGGTACTATTTGATATTTTTAGAATTTTGGCAATCTCTTGATTACTGTAACATGCATTATCATCAACTAATGTCTTTATCTGATATCAATAGCAGATGATATATCAGAGTACTACACATCTTCCAGAGAAAAATTACCAGTTCAGAAATGAGAAAAACCACTTATATACAGTACCACACTTGCATCAGTAGCATATATCTTTTTTGGATCTGTGCAGCATTTTTACACTTGCAATAAGGGAAAAGCATGTTGGAAATGCACTTTCTTGTTTTCCATCTTTTTACTGTTGTTAAACAAACACAACTTGACCAATTTCTATTCTTTTTCTTTCAAATGATGCTTAACAATGACACTTACATGTTACACATGGATGCAAGAACAATAAAACATATGAACATCAGTCAAGACTGTTAATAGTGCATATTTGTCAAAAACACTACAGACTTTTTAAACAACCCAATATTTTAAAAATAATTAATTAATTAATGGTCTTCAATAAATTTAAATAGTTTTAAGTTTCAAATATAAATTTATTGAAATTATTTGAAATAAATTCTGTTAAATAAATTTATAATGTTATATAAAAATTTTCAAATGTTTATTCTTATTTTTAGATATGAATTGTGAAGGAAAAAATAGTATATGACCAGTTTGTATCAATGATGTTTGAGGGGAAACATATTCATTTTTCTCCAGTGGATAATAAGCCCCTCTGTTCATACAGTGTAAAGTTGTGTAAACAACGTCGATTAAATGGATATGCATTTTGCATTCGACATATTTTGGAAGATAAATCTGCTCCCTTTAAACAGTGTGCTCATGTTGCTCGTTACAATAATCAAAAATGCACAAATCCAATTCCATCTAATGAAGATAGAGAGTAAGTATATAAGATATTTAACTACATATTTGTTTGAATGTTAAACTTGTAAATATTTTTAAATAATATAATTTATATTATTTAGTATTTATACAGAGCACATACCCTTTATTAAAAGTTAAATTTAAAATTACATTCTTTTCTGTCATACTAACTGATAAAACCTTAGTAACAAAGGCAAAAGTACTTCTATATATGTGTTTTAACTTTTTTATTATTGAAATTATTTAAAATTTCTCAAATTGACCATATCAATATTATTTAATATTTTATAAAATAATGATTTATGATGTGATTAATCATTTTTATTGATTGTAATTTCTTATAAATTGTTTTAAAGGTTCTGCAATAGTCACATGCAAGTTGCTGGAATGCTTCCAAAAAAGGAGCGTAAAAACAAAAAAGAGAAAGAAAGAGATTTATTTATACCTTCAGATGGGAGGTTAAAATTTGCTGATAAGTTAAGAGCTCTTTTAAAGAAAGAAAATAGCATTACAAATACTGAAGAAACTTTCAATGATGATCCGTATGCATTTCCTGATCCTGTTACTGAAAATGGTAATAATAATGGTGGAACAGGATTATCAGTGGCTCGAACACCTTGGAATTGTACACAAAAGATTTTGGATAGTGCAAATTCAGAAAATATAATAAAAAATGAAGTAACTCAGTCTAAGAACAATGTTTCAGCTGAATGCAGATCGAAATCTCATACACCTAAATTATCAAAAACAATGAATAGATTACAGGCTAAAATTGCAGAAAATAAACTGCTTGATAAATTGAAAAAATCTCAGGAGTCTAGTCATCAGAACAATACTGTAGCAACAGTGGGAGGTAATTCAATAAATATTAAGTCTGAACCTCTATCACCAGCAGCAGCTTTCACTGTACAAAGTAGTAGTCCAAAAACAAACCCTGTTTGTGGAAGGAATAAACTATTAAATAAATTACTTGGTAATAGTAAAAGTAACTGTTCTACAAATACAAGTAATTCAGATCTTCACAGTGTAATTCCAGTAGATAATGCATCAGACACATCAAATATAAGTTTTTTATTGTCATCAGCAATGCACAAAACATCAAACTTAAAATCTCAGGTCACATCAAACCATCAAATATCTAAATTTGTAACTTCAGATAGGTGTTCAAATAATTCTAATTCAATAACTGGAATGGTTATGGTGAAACCACGAAAAAGCAAGGTCACAGAAATTACTTCCATTAAAGTTCCTCCAGTTCTTCAAAGAATAGAAGAGTTTTGGCAAAGTGAAAAGAAATGTTGTAAAGACTTATATCCTTTAGGTAAATATTATTTTAACTATTTATTATTTCTATTTATACTATTATTAGTTATGTAAATTCAATGCAAACAACTTGATGTTTAATGAATTAAAGTTTCAACTTTCTTATTACTAAAAATGTTCTGTATTTTTATGTTTAAAATTCATGTATTATCTGTGCTTAAAAGACAATTTGAAAAGGATGCAGGTTTTTCTGTGGAGCTGATTAAGTTGAATTTAAATTGCAGTTATGAACTTGTGCTTATGGAGTAATGATTGCTTCCATAGTATGAGATATACAGTAGGGAGTTATGCATAGGTTTTATTTTTGTTCTAGCAATTTTCTACAAGTTACATACATCATTGCAAGTTATGTGCATGAGAATACAGTGAATTTTCATTACGTAAAAATCAGTTCTGTATTATGATCATCAGGAAAATCTATCATTCTATATCAATGTTGTGTGTCTTATATTGATTAAAAACATTTTAATTGATCTAACTATTATTTCTAAACATAAAATTAAATATTACTGAAGTAAACATTCTCAAAGGAATAAAAAGTTTTTCTAAAGTTTGTCTTCCTTTTACTGATGGCATAATAAGTCTAGCAAAAAAGAAAAGCCACCTTAGTGCTCGTATAATTGAAGTAAACTAGTTTTATTTATTTGTAAAGATGGAAATTTATTGCTAACTGATAGACTGAGTTAGCTTAAATGGCAAAATAGATTTGATTTCTCAAAAGTTAGTACCATAATTTTATACAGATAACTCATCATGGTGTATATCCTACAGAAAATTGCTGGAATGGAAACAAAAGTCTTTGCATAGCCCACCCCATTGTACATCTTGCACCTCTGGAGCAGCCATTGAAAGCATCACTTACTAGTATACTGTTTAGAAGATAATGCTTCAAACATTAAAATTGTTTGTCTAAGATTCTTCATTGTAAATCTAAATATATAAAACTAGCAGACCCCGCCACGTATTTGTTGTGGCTCAAAATGTATCTATTATAAATGTATAACACTTCCCCTGTGGGGGGGTAATTTTTCGAAAAATCCCTTCTTAGTGTACATTCTCTTGATGTACCCTATTAAAACGTAATCAAAAATGCAAAAACCCGCATCTAAAATAGTATAAATAGAAGTGGAGTTCTTTACAGTAAGTCTTAATCCTGTCCATCTCCCCCAGTGGGGGAAATTTTGACACATATATTATATAAAAACATGTGCGTATTCGAATGCAGCGTTGTGTGAAAATTTCAAAGGAATCGATAGGAACAAACGAACATTACATTTTTATTTATATAGATAGATAGAAGATGATCTGCTTTAGTTCATCCTCACAGGAAAGCATAATGCTTCACAGAAAAGCAAACTTAGGTCGTTGTACTCGTAGCGCCATCTGTTGGACATAAAAGCCTTAATCCTAGATGATATCTTTTAATTTATATGAATGTTAACAGAATAATATACAGCCTATGCCCAACCTGAAGTTCCATGCTAAATACTGATGAAAGAATTTTTGAAATTGGATGAGTAATTTCGGAGATTACCCGCTACATCCAAACTTACAAGCATTATCTCTTTATAATATTAGTATAGATTACTTGTCCTGACTGACTGACTGAGTCACTGATTCATCATTGCCCAGAGCAAACTGCTTAAACCTAAAGAGGTGAAATTTGGTACACAGTTAGGGTACATCATGGAAATGCACACTAAGAAGGGNAACAAAATATACAAACATGTTGAAGAACACTACTTTCTTACATAACAACAAAAAGGTTGCCGTAGAAATCACAGAGGATGCAAAGAACAATTACTCATAGATTCAGTCATTCTACGGCAAGCACACAAACAACACAAACATACACATGGCATATATAGACTACAGAAAAGCATTCGACAGTGTTCCACATAGTTGGCTGCTACATATTCTACACATGTACAAAATACATCCATCACTCATTGCATTCTTTGAAAACAATATGCAGCACTGGAGAACAACACTACATCTCAGGGTTAGTAACACTTCCATACAAACAAACGAAATATTCATTAGGCGAGGAATTTTTCAAGGAGATTCCTTGAGTCCTCTCNCGAAAACACTATGCAGCACTGGAGAACAACACTACATCTCAGGGTTAGTAACACTTCCATACAAACAAACGAAATATTCTTTAGGCAAGGAATTTTTCAAGGAGATTCCTTGAGTCCTCTCTGGTTCTGCCTAGCCCTGAATCCATTATCCAACATGTTAAACAACATGCAATATGGCTACAATATCAGACATGAAAAAACAACACAGTTTATACTCTCACATCTCATGTACATGGACGACATAAAACTTTACGCATCCACACACAAAAACAACTTTAGCAGCTCCTACAAATCACACATTCATACACCAAGGATATACAAATCTAGTTTGGCTTAGACAAATGCAAAACACTTCACATAAAAAAGGAATCCTGAAGAAAGAAGATTTTGCACTTGGAAATGGAGACATTATTGAATCCATGGAAGAGGGCGAGTTCTACAAGTACTTAGGATTCCAACAAGCCNAAGGACATACAAATCTAGTTTGGCTTAGACAAATGCAAAACACTTCACATAAAAAAGGAATCCTGAAGAAAGAAGATTTTGCACTTGGAAATGGAGACATTATTGAATCCATGGAAGAGGGCGAGTTCTACAAGTATTTTGGATTTCAATAGGCCAAACTAACAGAACATACACAAATAAAGCAAAGATTAATTAAAGAATACCAGAGTAGGTTAAATGCTATTCTCAAAACACAGCTAAATGCAAAACACACAGTTAAAGCAATAAACACATATGTCGTCCCAGTACTCACATACTCTTTTGGAGTTATACATTGGACTTGCACAGATCTCGAGCAACTCCAACGGAAAACAAGAATAACACTTACTAAGCATAATCAACATCACCCTAAATCCGCCACAGAAAAATTAACCCTTCCATGTAAAGATGGCGGACGTGGCCTGATTGACATAGTTAACCTTCATTACAAACAAATACAATCACTGCAAGAGTTTTTCTACAGGAAACAAGAAACATCACAATTACATAAAGCAGTAACTCTAGCAGACTCAAATAACACACCATTAAACTTACACTCACATCATAGAGACTTGACACAACATATAAAAAGCATAGACACCATTAAGCAATTGTGGGCTCAGAAGACACTCCATGGCAGGCATCCTTATGACCTAGCCATTATTTTGTTGACAAAACTGCATCAAACAGCTAGTTAGATCGGGGATGCCTCTTTGGGAAGACGGAAGGATTCATGATTGCCATACAGGATCAGGTCATAAATAGTAAAAACTGCAGAAAACACATACTCAAAGATACAACACTCACAAATGACACATGCAGAAAATGTCACATCATCCCAGAAACTATGCAACACATCACTTCTGGGTGCAAGCTCTTGGCATAGACAGATTATTTACACAGACATAATCAAGTAGCAAATATAATACCCCAAGACCTTGCAAAGAAACACAAATTATTAGACATCCACAAACCATACTACAAGTACATTCTACAGACAGTATTGGAAAACTACACGCACAAAATGTACTACGACAGAGCCATAATCACAGATAAAACAATTTACCACAATAGACCAGACATCACACTCATTGACAAACACAATAAAATTACACACATTATAGACATAGCCATTCCAAACACTCACAATGTACAAAACACATGCAATGAAAAAATTAGCAAGTACACAGAACTTGCCCAGGAAATAAGGCATCTGTGGAGGATGGATAGGGTGCTTATTGTACCTGTTGTTCTCTCCTGTACAGGTGTGATACCACACACACTACACAAAAGCCTGGGAACATTAGAATTGAATAGAAATACATACATCATACTACAGAAGGCCACTATATTGAATACATGTCATATTGTTAGGAAATCCCTGAATACAGACACTAACAAACTTATTTAATTTTAGTTTTATTTTGGTTGCTATGCCTTGACTCTGGTCCGGCATAGTACACAGCCACCAGTGTGAAACGAGTATAACTCACTAAACACAATAATAATAATAATATCTCAGTATTGACGTATTTATGTTCAGTAATACATCAGAGAACACAGAACAATAACAATTCCAAAGGAAATTGCAAACATCAACAAAACATAAACAAGCACTACTGTGAGTTGTCCAAAGAAAGGCCAACACTTCCTTGTAAAGAAGGAACCTGTTTACAAGGAAATGACCTCACAGATATTTCAAACCTTCACTTCAAAAAAATACATGCTGGGAGTTTTCCTGTAGAAAACAAGAAGTATCATATTTACACATAGCTGTAATTTTTGCAGATTTTTGTACTGTTAGCAGTGAACCATTAAAATTACACAACACTGACCTGGATCTAATACAGTACGTAAAATGCACAGACATTCTCAGACAGTCTTAGATTAAAAAGGAGCTTCTTGATGGGCATCCCAATGATCTCAGCCAGGATTACATTGACAGAACTGTGTCAAACTGTTGGCTGACTTATGGGTGCCCCTTTGGAGAGATGGAAGGTTTATGATTGCCATACAAGACCAGGTCATAATTACAAGAAACCACAGAAAACATATCTTAAAAAGCACACAATCACAGATGGCACTTGCAGGAAATGCATGAGACTATAGAACACATTATGTTTGGTTGCAAAGTTTTAATGTGAACAACTTACATTGACATAACCAAATAGCTTATATTGTACATTGTGAGTTTCATACAAATACAAACTATTTCACATTCAGCAACCATACCACAGTGCTTAGGTCATTCAGAAAGTAAAGACTGTGTCACACTGCTACAAAATAGTTCTTTTCTTTGATTTGCATCATATCCTCACAAATTTCTTACTACAGTATACTTTTTATAATCATTGTTCTGTTTAATAGTTTATGCCTGTTTTATCTTTTCCTTTTTTCAGTAATGAAAAAAGAATACGTATTTATTAGAACAAATTTATAAAAATTTGGGCATGACTGTTATCCTCGTTGGGTCAGCTTTAATGTTCAGTTAATTTTGATAGTTTA